TGCACGACAAATGACCTGGTTTCTCCACCAAATAAATTTTAAGAAACAGAAGAAAAGAAAAAGAGAGCAATGACAGACAGCTCCAGAGGTGTGGCTGAAATGGCACTCAGTTATCACCATTAGAAGTCAGAACCATGACCTCCCTGTAGGACCTGGACAGCCACAGTGAGCCTCCGGCCGGAGTTCCCATGGGGGAGTCAGGGACCGCAGTCCCACAGGGGGGAAAGACAGAGCCATGTGCACATCCACCCTGACCACCCCTGTGGCCCCTCAGGGAGTGTCTGAAGGGTAGAGGCAGGATTCCTGAACGTGGCACTGCTGACACTTTGAACAGGATGAGTCTTGGTTGCGGGCGGCTGTTCTGAGCCGTGTAGGATGTTTAGCAGCATCTCTGGCAATGGCACCCCCACCCGCAGCTGGAACAACCAAAAACGTTTCCAGACATGGCCGAGCGTCCCCTGGTGGACACATCAACCCTGTTGAGGACCGCTGGGGTAGACATTCCTCTAACCTCCTGGGTGAGACAGAAAGCAACAGGAGCCCCAGAATTCCCAGTTCCCGAACGCTGGGCTCCACGAGGGAGGCCCCTGAGCAGAGGCTGAGTCCCTCACACTCTCCTCCGGTTCCGCTTCACCGAGCCCTTCCCAGCGGGGGAGACACCAGCGTTTCCTCAATAACCACATCTTGTTGCCACTTGATATCGCCCTGGTTTGTGTATGAGGGAAATCTGTTAATTTCTTTATAACCTGGGAGTAGGGAAACCTTCTGACTGAGTCAAGATTCAGAAGCAATTAAAACAAAAAGGATTGATACATTCAATTACATAACATTTAAAATCTTTTGTATGGCAAACGAAATAAAACACTGCACTGCAAAGGACAAACGAAAACTGGGAAAAATTATTTCACTTTATGCTGCAGCTCAAGAGCTGATATAACATAATTCCTAATACACAGTACTCCCGAAACGCAGGAGGAACAAGACCAAATCCAAACCCTACAGAAAAACGGGCACATATAGACAGACAAGTCATAGCAGAAGACACAAAAATGACTTTTGAACATATGAAAAGATGCTCACGTCATCAGAAGAGAGACGCAACTTCATATTGTACTGAGATACTATTTCTCAGTCATCAGACTATCAAAGATCAAGAAGTTTGACAACATGCTGTGTTGGCAACACTGGGTGGAAACCGGTATTCTTATTCATTGTTGGATTCTACAACCCCTAGGGAGGGAAATTCGTCAATATCTAACAAAATTACATGTGCATTTACTCCTTGACCCACCAATCCCACTTCTGAGACTCTATCCCAAAGATAAACTGGCAGAAATACCAATTTATTCACAAGGTTATCCATTGTGGTATTACTTGTAATTTTTTTTAAAAATTAGAAACAACTTAAAGATCCACCATAGGGGATTGGTTGAATACACCATAGGGCACCCCCACCATGGAGCACTGTGCAGGCAAAACAAGGAATAAGTGAGGTCTCTGTGCAGATTATGGATTGATCTCAAGTATATATTGTGAAGTTAAAAAAAAAGTCAAAGTGCTATACAGTATACATGATATGCTACCCTTTGTGTAAGAATTGGGGGACACACAAATATATATTATATATATACAGTCGTGTGTCACTTAATGACAGGGATACATTCTGAAAAATGGGTCATTAGGCGATCTTATCGTTGTGCAAACGTCATAGACTGTACCTACACAAACCTAGATGGTGTAGCCCGCTACACAACTAGGCTGTATGGTACTAATCTTATGGGACCACTGTCGTACATTCGGTCTGTCATTGACTGAAACGTCGTAATGTGGCGCATGACTGTAATTGTATGTCCAAATATATATGGCTTATGCTTTCTTTGGAAATATAATTAACTCAAAAAGTTAGTATGTATGCAGCCCATGCCACTGAAACTAACACCATGCCAAAGATCACGCCCAGTCTTCCTTTTTAAGCCTGGAGACTCTGGGCTTTCACTTGCCGGCCTTTGAGCTCTGCCAGTCTTTCTCTTTCACGTTAATGGCAGCCTCCCTGAGGTGGAGGGAACACAGGACTTGGGCAGAAAGGCTGCACCCTCAGTCCTCTGCCTGCGTCTGCCGGAGGCTCTCTGCCTCCACGTGACGAGGCACCGGTCTTATCTCCTGCTGAGGCTGGGACCCATTTGAGACACAGAAGCAGTCGGCCCATTCAACTTGACATCATTAACTCAGCTGCAAGTCTCCTGAAGAAGCATCTTCCTTGGCAGAGCCATGTGCTCATTCCCATCCCGGTCTGCTGACCGAATGCCTACCCTAACCTGGAGTCCACTCTGCTGAAAGGAGCCAGAAGGAGCCAGCACATACCCATATTCTGAATTTTTCCTTCTTTTTCCTATAACATTACAGTCTTGAATGATGCATGATCTGCCTACCAGGGTAAAGCAGACAACAGGTTGAATCGATACTTACTGAATCACACCACTAGCTTTCCAGCCTGTGACAACTGACTCCTCTGCTCCTCATCTGCTTCCCCAAAGCTAGAGCCCCACATTTTAGGTTATTTCACATGCAGCACTCCACTTCCAGGTGCTGTATTCAGTATCAGTTAGGATTAGGTTTAGCTGTGAGAAACATAAAATCCAAAGTGACAATAGCTTCAACAAGATAAAAGTTTATTTCTCTGTCATGTACATAAAGTCTGGAGGTAGTCAATCCAAGGCTGGCATGGTAACCCACAGTGTCAGGAATCCAGGCTCATTTCATCTGTTTTCTTCAACGCATACCTTCCACACATAGTTTCAATCTCATGGTTAAGATGGCTACCTGAGCTCCAACCATCACATCCACATTCCAGCTACCAAGAAGGCAGAAGGGACAGAAAAGGGTCAGTCCCTTTGAGGACACTTCCCAGAATTTATACACACACTTTTACTCACATGCTATTGACCAGAACTTAGTCACATGGCTGCACACAGCTGCAACGGAGGCTGGAAACTGTAGTCTCCACTCCAGGCAACCGTGTGCCCAAGTAAAAATCAGGGCTCTATTTCTAAGGACGAAGGGGTAACAAATACCAGGGGACGATAGCAGTCGCTGCCATATTCCTCCTGAAGCAGAGCAAAGAGCAAGCCCTGTCACCTCAGACCACCGGCTACGTGATCTCCCAGCTTGTCGGCACCAAAAGGTTTCTCCTCCATGATTAACCCAGGGTTTGATCTTTATTCACAAGATGACTCCTCCTTCCCGTCTCTCCACTGCTCCTACTGCCTTCCCATAGGCCGGGATTTCACTCCACAGTGTCAACTCTTCCTTGAGAGCAGGAAACAGAATGTTGGAGCCAGGAAACACCCTGCCCAGCACCTCCAGGGATAAAAAGGAGGCCTTCAAGTTAGAGGCCATGTGAGCCGGCTTGACAAGGGCCCTGTGTGTATATACACCGGAGGCACGAGTGGTGGCAGAGCGAGAGGGAGGCTCAGGCCTCCGGGGCCAGCACTCTTCTCTCTCCCCACACTGACCTCCCCAGACACAAGCCCACAGGACCCCTTCCCTCCAGCTGGTGGAGTCAGTCGAGAGCAGAATTCACAGCTCTGCCAACAGCCCTCCTGGGGAAGGGGTCCCGCTCTCCTTCACAGCCTGCTGTGCTGGCCGTGGCCTGTGGTGAGTTACCCAGGAGTGAAGAAGGGCAGGGCCCTCACTACAGCCCCCTCTCAGCAGGGGATGGCGGGGGCAATCGAGGAGGGAGGAGGTCAGGGATCACAGGCTAAGGTATCGACTCCTCTGCCCTCCAACCCCTTCAGAGCGGACGGTGTTGCAGGAGTTTCTCATCTACTACAGAAATCACGTCTGAGAGAGAAGAAAACCTATTCCTTATTTTTCCCTTCAAAATGTTCATATATTTTCTTTTTTCCATTTCTACTTCTAACCTGCCTGGACCAGGCCTTTGACCTGTGAAGTGAGACCCCTGCTTCCAGTCAATGCACACAGGGTGATTTAGCACCTTCTCTGGGCTTCCCCTGAGCTGACGTCATGGAGGAACGAAGGGAGAGAGACTGTCTACAAACCCAGGGGAGGGCCCACAGGGCTGCTGTCCTGTCGCCTGGCCCCCTATTCATTCACTGAATAAGTTAGGTACTGATTATGTTGCAACAATGTTTATGATAACAGGTATTTGAAAACGATCCAGGTGCCAAACTAGAGGGGCCTCGTTAATTAAACTACGGTTAGAAAAAGGAAGTACTCTCAACGGACGAAATGGAAAGGTCCCCAGGGGCATATTGTCGAGTAAAAAGAGCAAAGCTCAGAACAATGTGGGTAAAGTGCTGCCTTTTATATCAGAGAGGGGAAAACAGAATATTTATATTGGTATCTGTTTATTTTGCGTAAAGCAAGACAAAAAACTAATAAACATGGTGGGAAAGAAATGGGTGGGGTAGGAAAGAGGGTGGGGCAAATAAGGGTGGGCATAAGACTTCCAATGTATCCCTTTTCGTATTTTTTTGATTTTTGAAATGTGATTATACACCTATTCACAATTTTTATTTTAAATGTAATAAATGTAAAACCTGTGAAGGCCCTCCTTTCCCACCCTGTACTACAGGCTCTAAGCCTGTCCAGAGGCCAGGCCGGCGCGCAGCCGAGAGCGCGCCCGGCCCCGGGAGGGAGCCGCGGCGGGCGCGGGGGCGGGCCGCGGTGAGACCCTGAGGGCCGCCCCCGAGGGACGGAGATGGACCACAGCGTGAACAGTAGTGCGGTGACGGGTGACTTTTGTTTTCATCTACACTTTTGAAGTGTACAAATTTGCTACCACAAGCATATTTACAATCAGAATTTTTATTAAGCGTTACTCCCAGCAGTGACAGGAGGCGACAGCAGAGGACACGGAACCGTTCCTGTGGCGCCGCGAGCGGCCGCCAGGGGCCAGCAGCACGCCGCGGTGCGCGCCGCCCCCGCGGGGGACCGGCCGCGGCCCCCGGAAAGGCGCTTCCCGCCGTCCTCAGTCTCACTGGGCGCCGTTTGTCTTCCACATGCTTCTGTCTTGGGCCATTTCCCAGTAAACGGCCGTCCCTGGGCTCTCGGAGGCCACAGCTGTCTGCAAGCTGGGGGCAGTGGGGGTGGCGGAGGTTCCGGGACCCGCGCTCGCCCAGGGACCCTGGACAAAGGGAAGGCGCTTAGGCTGGAGCCCTAGCTCCAAGAAGCCGCTCCTCCCGGGGGGAAGGGAAACTGAGGCCGTTTCCGGGGCTGGGACACGGCCAGAGGAGGGCCGGGTCACAGGAGGGGTCAGCTCGTCCCCGGAAGGAACTCGCTGTTCCCAGTCGGGCAAGGAGACAGGTAGAGGGATTGTCCGTGGGCAGCTCAGGGGCTGAGGCTGCCCAAACTCCACCCTCGGAGCCAGAGAACCGACGTAGGCCCACCCCTGGGAGGCTCTTCAGACAAGGAGAGGCAAGAGTCCTGTGTTTTAGGATGAGCGCAGAGCTAAGACTCAGGAAACCCGCTGTCACCCACTGTGTGACCTTGGGAGAGCTATCTACCCTCTCCGGGTCTAACTGAGTTCTCTGTTATACAAGGAGGTTAGATAAGATGATCTTTAGGCCTCTCCCAGCTCTGGTATTCTGTGAATCTAACAATTCCAGGCCTCCCGCCCTCCCCAACCCCAGAGGGGTCTTAGCCCCAGAGAGGTCTGGCTGGACCAGGTCAGACCTTGTCCCCCTCACGTATAGTCTCTGGACAGTCCCCAGGCAAATGCCCTTTGGAAGGCTGGATCCAGTGCGCGCCAAAGGTGAAGGAGGAAGAGGCTATTGGCTAAAAAGCCTGGACGGAATGAAATCCAGCAGCTCTGCCCTGGCTGCACCATTGTGGGTGAACAGTGATGGTGAGGATCTTTCTGAGGGCAAAGCCACTGGACATTGCGCCCTGCCCCCGCCATGCTCCCAGACACCTCAGCAGCCCTTCCAGCCCCACAAGTTTTGTTTACACCCTTCCAGGACAGAGAAGAAAGGACAAAGAAGGTTACATTATTTTTAGGATGACTGCTATTTAAAGTGACATACATATGTTATGTATGTGACAATAATATGTATTTATAATCTAACATGCTAACTTAATTTTGGTCTATAGATACGTTTATATACATCCAATCCTCAAGTGACCAATTTTTGTGATAGGCAAGGATCACGTAAGTCATTCAAACTCCTGACCTTGGGCAAAGGACATTTGGGGATTCTGGATTGGGTGGCTGAAGCAGGTTACAGAATCCTATTCTGGTGAGCTTTAAACCTTGAGCAGGCCCTTCGTCCTGAGGAAGTTTCCGGCAGCTCTTCCGGAAGGTGGGAGATGGTTCAGATAGCCTTTCAGGATCCCTTCCAGGCTGATCTATACCATTCCTCTCAGGTTGGCTAGTCTTCTCAACCCAGCATACCTCCCCTCGTTTTCCTTGTTCCAGGTAAAGAGCTGACCTGGGGCAGGGGCACGTCCAGATTCTGTGGGCTGCCGAGGCTCATACATGTTTGAAGGGCCCCCTTAAAGAAAAACAGTTTAAAACCACTAATACACAATTTCTCTTAGAAGAGGTCCACGTATGTGCAAGCCCCTGAAACGGAACCTTCAGTAACGCCGGAAACCCGTTCCCCTTCTAGGGGGCACTTCAAGCTCTAAGCTCTGGGTTTCTCTTCTTCTTCCAAATCTTTTCCTCTTCTCATCCCTTTTCTTTATCGGTTCTCCTCCCTTCCTTTGAGGCATCTGGGACCAGTGGACCTGTGGGGCCAGCTAAAGAGGTGGCGGTGGGGGTCAAAGATGGACCGCATACCAAGGGAACCAGCCATGTGAAGATGCAGTGAGGATAGCGGGAACCAGGTTTCTCACTCTCAGGACACAGAGTTACAGAAACGGGAAGGGCAGAGGCTGGAAAAACCCTATGGTATTGAATGGAATTGGAGGCAATTCCAACCATGGGAGCAAACTCATGGTTTTTTAATATACATAGACAATTTTGAAAATAGATATAAATGTATGTGTATAAATATATATTTTAATATATATAAATTATATTTATGTGTGTGTATACACACACACACCAGTAGCATGGGGACATCTAATGCCCAGATTAAGGCTTCTAAATATTATTCTTTGCTAAAAGGAACCAGAGCTCTTTGGAGAAATGGTTGATTTCCAGAATGAGACAGAGAAAGCATAAAATAAACTTAGAACATTTTATTGTGTCAGAAAGTAAGGAAGTGCTGAAAAAATTATAGGAATTTATCAGAGTCACAGGAGCCAGCTTAACAGGGTTCCCTTGGCCAAATCTGGAACAGTGTGAGTATCAAAATAAATAATGATAGTAAGGGTTTATAGTGCACGAAATAGAATCAGAATCCATAAGCTACACTGACAAATAAACTAATAAATAAGAGAAAGTTCTTCCTTAGATTAGAATGGCAACTAATAAATATGGAAGAAATGGTGGAACTAGAAAATCACCATTTAGTGATTGTATTTTCCAATATATTTTCTAACAATATCTCTAATCCTATATGCCCTCCTTACAATGTGACTTTGACAGTTTCCATTAAAAGGTGGGGTCTCTGTCTCCTCCTCTTGAAACTAGGAGCATTTAGACTAGAGAAACACAACCTATAGAGTGTGGCAGAGATGACACGATGTGACTCCCAAGGTTATGTTGGGAAAGGCAATGGCGCTTCTGCTTGACTCCCTGAACACTTACTCTTGAAGGCTTCCGCCACCACACAGTGCAGACACCCAGACTGGCCCATGCAGAGGCCCTGCGACTGCACTCTGAGGCGTGTGGAGAGGAGATGCCTGGCCAGCTCCCAGCTGCCCCAGCTCCACTACCGTTTCGACTGCAACCCCGTGAGAAACCCCACACCAGAACTGCCCAGCTGGCCCTTCCCAGATCCCTGGCCCACAGAAACTGTGAGAGAGAAATAAATAATAGAAATAAATAAGTTTTTATTATTTTTTAAGCCACTAAGTTTTGGGAAAATTTGTTACACAGCAACAGATAACTGGAACAGCAACCATCATAGTAATAGTAGATTCAGACAATAATCTTAATGGAGGCAAAAACGAATGGGTAAAGGTTTGCTGAGGAATGAGATTTTTACAGAGAGTTAAAGTGTTTTCCCACTAAATATTTATTAATCACAAAGGGAAAAACTTTACAGTGGCGAATCCTGGCAGACATCCCTTAACAAAGCGATCGAAGTTAGGGTTGTCATGATGGGACAGACTGACACTGGCCGCGTTGCTGTGCTGGTCAACAGTGAAGCACCAGCGGGGGGAGGGCACTGGTTTGTAACACTCGCTGATTTCTGTGGTGTGAAAACGCCCACAATGACGGATTTCAGACTACCACAGGTTTCACAACAGGCTGAAGTTTTAACGATTGGCTGTTGCTTGCTGGTGCAGCCCGCGGCCTGCAGGCCCTGATCCTCGTGCCCCCGCGATGCCCTGACGGACCCACAGCACTCCTGAGGAATCCCACAGCATTCCTCTCACAAATGCACAGCTGGAACCTCTTCAAAGGAAACAGCAGACAAGCCCAAAATGAGGGCACTCTACAAAATAACGGGCTTGTGCTCTTCACAAGTATTGAGGTCACAGAAGACAAGGGAAGGCTGAGGAGCTAGCTGTTCCAGACGGAAGGAGACGAGAGAGAGATGATAACTAAGTGTGACATGGGGTCCTGGGTGGGGTTCCCGGCCAGAAAACAAAAAATGCTTGGAAGGGCCAGGGCCAGATGGTAGTATCTTTTCAATGTTAATATCCTGATCTGGACGGTTGTCCTGTGGTTACACAGGAGAATAGCACTGTCTTTAGGAAATGCACACAGAAGTATTTAGGAGTAATGGGGCATAACGTCTGCAACTCAGGCCTCAACTGGTTATAAAGATAGATCTAGACCTTGAGAGAGATATGGACATGGATATGGATAGAGAATGATACAGCAAACGGAAAATGTTCACAACTGGGGAACCTGGGCAAAGAGTATCTTAGAGTTCTTTGTACTATTCTTGCAACTTTTCTGAAAGTTTCATGTTATTTCAAGACAATAAGATAGATGTTCCGTGGTTTTCCCTGAGGTTGAATCCCAACTTCTAACCTGCTGGGAAACAGGACGGTTGGCACTGCCAACAACGTTCCCTCAGTGTGAATTTCCAGAAAGCCTCCTGCCCTTCCTGGGGGCTGTGCCGACTGAAGCGAAAGTTCAGGCCCCAGGAGGAGGAGGCCGGGCCAGGGCATCCGTCACGGGACAGACAACGGGGACTCACTGTGCAATAAGCCTGGCAAGCCAGGGGCTCGCGGCATCCCTGGCCTGTAGGCTCCTCCAGCCCAGACAATTCATCTGACAAAGAAGGAAAAAGGATTTCACCTCACTCTGACAAAGAAACTAAAAATACAGATTGCATGAATTCAAATTACAAAAAGACAGTTTATCAACAGAAGGCTTTGCTGCAGATTTCCTTTAAATAAATAGCAAGTCCCCAGGTGCAGCATGATTTGTTTACAAAAATTCAATTAACACACAATTTTGCCAAAAGATGATCTGTCAGGGCACCCTCTGGGAAGTCCTACAGGAGGAATGAGTGAAATCAGCTTTATCCACTCTACTCCCGGCAGAAATATGACTCAGGTCCAGGGGGCTACAACGTGTTTCCCAGATCTTCATGACTCAGTTTCTGGTTCTGTTGCTGTTTCCTAGTTCTCTGCTAGGACTCAGCCTATTGAACCAGGCCTGAAGGCAAAACTGTAGCTGGTTTATTTTGCCAAATCAGAGATTATACCGAGTCCAGGCCAGAGATCTTACACTCCTGGGAGATCCCGGTAGCCATGGCAATTAGCCCATTCTGCTAAGTTCCATTTTCACCATTTATTAAATGTAAGTCAGCCGAGTTGGGACCTATACACCATCTACTGGGATTGGTGAAGGCAATGAATCAAAGACCCTCAGAATTAGAGAGGATCTTTGAGGTCATCTTGTTCCATCCAGGAATCAGTCTGTGGTTGAGGACTCCCAGTCAGCAAGGCTTTTCCCAGTACCATCAACCAACTGTGAAAAACTACAAATGGAGAGACGGTCGCCTGCTGCCTGAGAGCTCAGATGCAGGTGATGGACGATGGATGAGAAGATATATGAATCCACCCAGGACTTTTAAGGAATTCTTTGACTCCCCTTCACATCCTTTGGTCAAGTGAGGACAAGCCTGGCTTCTTGCCTTCCTTCTCCCAAAGACCACGCCAGGAGCCAGAATCTGACCATGCGAGGCCTTTTCTGGGGGGAGACTCTGCTCCACCGTCTCCTGCCTCAGCAACCAGCTCAATACCTACAAGTTGTGTCCATCCATTCAACACATCTTTTAATGAGTGCTGACTAGTTGTGGGGCATGGAGCTAGGCTCTGGGTTCACAGTGTACAGAAAACAATCATTAGTGCCTGCCCACAGGAGCTTACAGTCTGGTGGGAGGGAGACTATAAACACAGATAAAAGCATGTAATTACAAATTGTGATGAGAGTCACGAAGGAAGAGAGGTGCTGTGAGACAGAATAACAGGTTAGGGGTCTGGGAAACCTTCCCGAGACAGTGACGTGAAACCTGAAACCTGAAACCTGAAGGGTGAACACGAAGTTACTTAGACAACAGTGGAAAGAAAGAACATTCCAGGCAGAGAGAATGAGAAAGACCCTGATGCAGGATAGAGCTTGGGGTATCTGAGGAACAAAGGGCTAGGGTGGCTAGAGTCTGGCGCACAAGAGGCAACTGGGGTAGGATGATGCTGAAAGGGGTCCAGATTAAACAGGATGCTGTATGCCCTGCTGAGACATTTGGGTTTTTCTAAGTGCACCGAGTTGTAAGCAATGGAATAACCTGATTTAATTTAATTTTTAGAAAGCCATTGCTCAGTGAAGAATGAATTGGAGAGGGCAAAGAGAAGAATGAGGAGATCAATTAGGAGGCTATTGTCAAAACTCAGGCAAGAGGTGATAATGGCTTCAACTCAGCCAATAGCAGTAGAGGTGGAGAGGCATGGATGGATTCAAGATACATTTTGATATAGGGAGCAGGGGAGAGAGCAGTATCAGGAATGTCACTGAAAATTTCTGCTTTGAGCAACTGGGTGGAATGGATGGAAGTGCCATTTACTAAGATGGAAAGACCAGGAAAAGGTTGAAAGGGAAGAGACTGAGAGTTCAGCATTGCACGTAGTAGTTTCTGAGATTCCTGTGAGCCATCCAAGAGAATAAATAAATTTGGGAATCATAAGCAAATAAATAGTATTTCAAGCAAAGGAATGAATGAAACTAACTAGGAAAAGAGTATAGAGTGGGAAGAGAAGAGAAAAGAAGAGGAGAGAAGCAAAAAGACAAGAACTCAAGAGAGGCAGGATTGAGTGCTGAGGAAATTCAACACAGAGATCAGACGGAGAAGGAGCATCTGGAAAAGGGACATCAGAAGCAACGGCCAGAAAGAAAGGAGAAAACCAAGAGAGTGGATGTCACTGAGGCTGAGAGAAGAATATTTCAAAAAGAAAAGTTTGGTCAACTGATCAAGTATTTCTGAGAGGTCAAGCAATCTGGAGGCCATTGCCGACCTTCACAAGGTCAGTTTTGATGAAGAAATAGAGGTGGAGACTACACTGGAGTGGACTCAAGAATGATCGAGAGAAAATGAAGACAGCTTGTGGAGGGAAGCAGAGGAATCAGGGAATAAACATCTGTCTTCTCACTTGGGCCTCCTGGCCAGGTCAGCTACAAACTTATCCCATCTCTCCTCCCAGGTCTTCATGGCCACCTTCTTCTCCATAGCCAACAGGGCGCTGTACCTGCAGGAGAAGAGGCGCCAGGTCAGCCCAGGGAAGGGGATGGGGAGCAGGACAGGCAGTATGAGGGGATCTCAGATGCCTGAGGAGCACATTTCTCCTTAGTCCAGGAGCAAGAACGAAACAGAGATGAGGTGGAGAAAACCCACAGAAACCTTCCAGACTTCTGCCCCAAACCTCTAAGAGAGGTAAACACAAGTTGTGGGATGGAAGAGGGAGTGGGGGATCTGGGAGGTACATAGGACACTCACTTGATAGAGTTCATGGCCAGCTGTTTGAATGTCCTCAGGTCAGCCGTCATCCCCCCAATGCCCATGAAGGCCTCATAGAAATCATAGGACAAGCCTTTGGCTCCAAAGACAGCTGGGTCATCAGAGCTGATCACCATGGGGTACCCGGTGGCCATGAGAACAGCTGCAGGGTGGTTTCTCAGGTCAGATACCAGTTTCAGAACCTGCCCAACAGGAGGCAAAGGAGAAAAACAAACTTTGATCCATAAAAAAGTGTCGTTACAAGGGAGGTGAGACCCATGAGCATAACCAGCTCCTTTCTTATCCCCATCACTGTTCTGAACATTGGGATGACTTCTGGGCAAAGTCCTGACACAAGGAATAGAGCCAGTCCTCATGCTTGTCCTAATTTTCTCCAGGTCTCATCACCACCACAAACATTTGCTCTCTCTCGGTCCTGCTCAGAGCAGCTCTCCTCAACACAGCAACAGATGCAGGTACACAAAGAACCGCAAGCAACTGTGGAAGCAGCAGTATCCTATGGCCCCTCTCACTTCCCTGGCCTCCCCCAACGTCCCTTCAGCTTTGTCCACAGCTTTGCTCAAAATTCCACCCCACTGGGGATCCTCACTGCTGCCTCATTATTATGAATGGTTTAGGCAAAGGGCCTTTCCTAAATACTTCTACTAATGGGAGGCAGAGAGTGGAGGAATATAGAAAACGAGTTAAGGAGAGAAAAATTATACAGGAAAAAGGTCGAGCAGCAGAGCAGAGGTTGAGGTTTGGGGAGAAGATCGCACTGGACTGGTCCCATGGATCATGCATACCTGGTTGGAGATGGGACAGACCTCGATGGGGATGTCCTTCTTCCAGGAGTCAGCCCAGACTGCTGGGTGTTTGCTCAAAGCAAATCCATGGCCAATCCTGGTAGAGTTCAGTATTAGGGCATCCAGAAGGTTTCTGTCTACGGAAGTACCCTGCCAATCTGTGGATACAGGGGTAGTCTTCAATAGGATCGATCTGACCCACAGATCATCCTCAGATAAAGGCTCCAGACCCCCCAAGCAAGAAAAGGGAGAAAACGAAATTTGACACAAATACCCCAGACACACATTTTCCTTATAACAATGCTAAAGAGAGGTACGGCATGCCTTTATTGTATGTATGTATGTGACAGATGAGGATGTTGAAACTTACAAAGGCTTTATAAATTGAAGGAGGATACTCGGCTAGCAAGTGGCAAAACTGGGTTTCAAATCTTCGTCTGTCTGACCCCACAGTCCATATTCGTTCTTTCCATTTTTTGTTCCCAGAGCTATTCTCTGGGAATTTTATGTTTATGATCTTTACAACAATGTGCTGCAGACTCTGTCAATATAATAATTTGTATGTATTTAATTTATATCTTTAACAGTACTCTTGGGACAATATCAAGGGCAAGATGGCGAGGGTCAGCACGAACAACGTAGTGGCAGATGCTGCTGCTGCCTCCTCCCCAGCAGTCCCTGCAGCACCTTCTGGTTGGCAGGCCTTCTTTAGAGGGTGAAAATGACATGGCCCAACTCTCCCAGCTTCCCTTGCAGCTAGGATAGTCCTAATGCTGGCCTGGGAGGTTACTAGTGGGGAGCTCCTGGGGCTTCCACCCTAATAGAAGGAGATGCCCTGGAGGAAACATCTCGTCTTTTGCTTCACTAGATGTGGTCATGACTGAACATGACTTCACTATCTGACGACAAAGTAGGGTGAAATCCTGGACTCGATGAGGACAGCAGAGGTTGCTTATTACGTGACATAACAGATGACCTTATTGTAAAACCTGTTGGATGTGTGCACTCCATTTCTGGCAGCCCAAAGCATCTCAACTGAACCACATGTAAAATATGACAATTCCACTTCTCTGTTAGGAATAAAACCCAAGAAACCCCCTTGCTGGTGAAGGCGTGTGTTTTACGTGGATTTTCACTAGTTTCCTATCTAGTACTTTCTTTGCAAATATTGCCTCTCCTTTTTTTTTTTTTGATAAGGACATTACCCTTGGGTATTAAATGCCCAAGTCCTGGCAAACTCATCTCTTAGGACCATACATTTTGAAATTTAGTTAGCTCCTGTGTGACAGTGCTTCATACTGTTGCAATGACTTCACACAGGTAAGCATGGTTTTCCCAACTAGACCACAAGCTCTTCAAGGTTAACAACCCCCTACCCCATCCCCCGTAAACAGTTCTTTAAATCTCCTAGAACAGCTTTGATCTAAATTGGATCTAAACTGGCTTGAAATGTCAGGAAGAAGAGATTAATGCACACGGGCCCTTCCTCTGAGAGATGGTGTGATAAACCAAGGTTTAAGCCCAGTTGTGAAATTCAAGCTCCCACTGCTCTCTCATGTCCTCAGTCCTCTGAGGCTGACAGATGGGGTGCGGCAGTGAGCTTTCCTCCTGGTCTAAGCACCCAAACCTTCATTTTGATCTGAGACTGCAGCCATGGTCTGGCGCTCCTTTTGCTGAGGGTGTGCGCACTTCAGGACTGGAATATGGGAGGGGCTGAGAGATGACCAGTGAGCCTAGGGACTGAGCTTTGGGGAAGGAAGGTGTGGCTGGGCTAGGACATTTCAGGAGCAGCAGCAGCCAGGCTGCCTGGGCAGGGTGGGGTCTCCTCTTCCGCACTGATGCGTGTGGACAGAGCCTCCTAGAGGCCAGGGCAGTCTTGGGTCTAGTCCCTCTTCTGCCACTGAACAGTGTGTAACTTGGGACAGGTGGGTTCACCTCACAAGCACAATTCACTCGTTATGAAACAGAGATCATCAAAAAGGGCTCAGATTCAGACTCCGCCACTGACCAGCTTTACCTTTGGACCAATCACACTGTTTGGAGCTGTGGGCTCATCTATAAAACAGGGATAAAAACACCTTCCTAGCAGGCCTGGAGTAAGAATTGGAAACAATATATGTGAAGTGCATGATACTGTTACTGTCACTGTTATTCCTTCTCCAGGGGCTGCTGTCAGGATTAAATGAGATAATGCATTCGAAATGGAGAAGGGCCATAAATGACCCTTGACTCTCACTACACTGCCAAGGGCCCTGTCAACACTTTTGAGGGATGGTGAGGAGCCTCCCGTCCACCACCTCCTGTGTCCTGATCGTCTCTGCACGGCTCACCTGTCTCTCCGGCGTGGAAAAAGTAAGGCAGTTTTACTGCATGCGAGGCTGGAAGCATCAAAGCCTCCTTGTAGTCATACAAGGAGTGGCCAGTGTCCTCACGCCCCACCTGTGGGACAGAGAGGAGGGGACATGGAGCTGGCTGCTTGATCCATGCCTCACTTTGTTGATGGTGCCCCTGCAGCCTGTGAGCACCCTTCCTTTACCCTCCACTACTGCCTGAGGTCTTGCTCACACAGCCTTTTAAGAATGACCAGCAGCAGAACTGGGAAAGAAAAGAGTGCGTCATTGCCCTGAAATAACTCCCCCCTTAGGCAGAGGCTGTGCCTTGTATCCTCCCAGCTCCTCCCGTCTTGTCTTCTCACACCACCTTCCAAGCCCCTGTGCTTCAGCCCTGAGCATTTCAGGGGGAGAGAGTGACAGAGCCATAGAGAGACAGAGCCAGCAGGAGAGTGAGAGGCTGAGAGCAGGAGAGACAGGGAGAGAGTGGGAGAGACAGAGGGACAGAGAGAGCAAGAGAGCTGGAGCCCTGGGCCAGGAGCCAGGAGGAGACCAGATGCAGCTCGGCCACTCGTCGCCTGTGGGCCCCTGGGCGTGTCAGTTTCCTGGCGGAGTCCCCCTGTGACTCAGTTCCTCAGCGGTAACTAACATGAAGAGCAACTACACCCAAATCACGCTTTTCAGACTAAGCCGCACATACCCTCAGGGCTTTGTAGTTGTGTGCCAGGAGGAAGGGTGCCTTAGGATAAAAGGTGCCTCCTGCAGAATGCCTATTTTAATTTGTGAGGTAGGAGAGTGGGGGACAATGACACATTTTTGTAATAAAACAAACATGGATATTCAATGTAGTAGGATGAAGTGTAGATTTGAAAGAAACTCGGAGCTTGCAAGTGGACCCCTTTGAACAACTATCTATCTCCCCTTCAACCCCAATCTCCCAAGAGGGCTTGTCCATTAGAGTCCTTGTATGGACTGTTCCAGAAGCCCTCCTTCTCAGGCCCCTTTGTTAGTGCTCCACACAGAGGGAAAAGATGAGATGGAGGGACTTCTGCCCCTTTCCTGGAAAGGCAGATCCTCTGAGCAAAGCTCAAAGGTCCCAGGAGGACATCCTGGGTCCAAACAAAGTGATTCCTTGAGAGCCACTCTCTGGGCTCTGCTTGGTCTGACAGCAAGAGCTTAAGCACAGTCTGGGGTAAAATGTACAGATTCTGTAAGAGGGAGTCAGGAGTGCCCTTTAGCCAGTTAGTCCAAATTAATTTAGCTTCCTTAATGAGATGAATGAGTTGTCACCTGGGAAGTGTGGCCTCGCTGTTAGGATCTGGCTATGGCTTTGACTTGGGGGTGAGGGGCAGTCACACCACTTATGGATGTGCAGCTTCAGAAACAGCTGAGGAAGCCAACAGGATGCAGAGAGACGGACGCCTTTTACATCCTCGACGGTTCTGCTCAGAGCTAGCCCCGTCCCTGCTTCCAGACACCGCCCCGTGTGCTGCGGTTGGGAGAGCCAGATGTAGGTGGGCAGTGTGAGCAGAAGGCAGGGGAATGGGGAACAAGCCCGTCATTATTGTCCAAATGCCCTGAATTCCTTCCTTATTCTGGAACTTTCCTTTTTAGTCGCCGCGCCATTTCTGTCATCCCCCTGCAGGCCCCTAGAGGGGGTCAGCGCTGAACTCTGGCCAGGCCTGCGGTTGGCAGCCTGAGCCTCTGCAGAGGCTTCACTGGGTGCTGCCCGGCCCTTCACCAAGAGCTGCCTGCTGGGCCCGCCCTCGGACAGCCTTGCTGTGCACAGAGTCCGTTACCAGATCAAATCCTGCCACCATTCTGGGGAACATGGTCTGAAGCGCCATGGCTGTTCGGACGGATTCCATGATGAGGGACACATCTTTGGATCTGTGAGAGAGACAGAGAAGCAAAGAAACAGCGTGAACCCCAGAGCAGCTCCCTCGGTGCCTGCAGCTGCTCTAGTGCAGGGTCCACAGCAACCATCTCCCAAACCCACATGACCCCATCCCAACAGGGCTGTTGTGACCCCTTTAAGTGGCTGCATCTGAGAGAGATTTCGCCCAAATCCATCCCTGTCAAGGACTCTGGCTGGCTCCAGAGGGACCCACAGTCTCTGAAAAGCAGGTGAGGCAAAGGGACCCACGGGGCAAGTTTTATCTGTCTACATTTGGATGAAGCGAAGTGGCCTTGTCCAAAACTTGCCCTGCATCCCTGAGAGGGCGGGGCCTGGAAGTGGGTGCAGTACACTGGCCGGGTCCCTGTGCACTGGACACCTGTGAAATGCCACAGGTTGGCTGGACGTGGTAACTCCATGTCCTCTTCCTCTGATTAAATCAGCCAGGCCCTGGGCGCTCCAGAAGCCATATAGCCAAGCTGCCTGACCTCCCTCTGTGCCCTCTCTCTCTTCAAGACCAGGACAGGGAGGAGGCAAGCAGCATAACAACAGAAACACCAAGAGAAAAGGCCTGGCACAGCCCATGATAGGACAAAGGCCTCTGCCCGCAGCTGGCTCACTTGTTCCAGTCCTCAGTTCTCTGGGCCTAAGTTTGTCCTGCCCCCGCTTCCCCACACTTTCCCATTCCCTCTCCTGCAGAGCCCGAAGGGAACACAGAGAGCACTTACCCACTGCAGCTCAGCCTAAACGCCCTTCTGCCTCTGGCCTCCAGGGAGCCTCTGGGCAGAACCAGTGGGGCCCATCCTGCAAGCTCCATCCTGGCTGACCAGCACACAGGCACAGGCCTCACGAGGAGGGGAGGGGATTCCAGGGAGGAGGCTCCTGGGAAGTCTGACTGCCCTCCAGAGCCCAGCCCCACGGTGAGCTCAGCACATGGAGCAGCTGCCCACCCCCCCAAGCCTGACTGGTGTGATCCCACCTGGCTGCTGCCGCTGCATCTCCAGCCCTGGACAGGCCACAGGCCTTAGACTGGCTGCTCTTTGAGAAGAGAGGAGAGCTCTTCCTTTGGTAAAATCAGAAGGAAAATTAAGCTCTAAGGCTTTCTGCGCTTGCTTGGGGAAGTAGGGGTCCTTCTTCACACCACCATGCTGCTGTGGGGTCTCCACACACAGATGCTGAGACAGCTGTCACTCAGGGCCCGGTCACCAATCAAGGCCTCGCACCCAGCAACACGCAGCAACAGCTGACAGGAGGCAGAACCCCAGTGGCAAATTAAAACAAAGAAAAGGGCCAATTATCCAAACATTCAGGCAAAAACATTATGCTCGTAACTGAGTCACCAGGCCAATGTGAGGTCACAGCCTAGAATTATCTGGAAAATTGACACAGTCCTTCATTTCAGTCTGGTTGTGAGGACTCAAACTAGAAGTGATTTCAGATGTTGATTTTTGCACTCACACGCAAGCGCACACAGCAAGCCCAGGCTCTTTGGCATCAGGGGTCTCTGACCCCTGGCTCCCAGCCTCCCCTCTCACCTCTCTCTGCCCCGCTCCCTTCCTAGCCTAATAGCTCTGCCCACATCCCTTTCTCCCCATGCTTGCAGTTTCAGCCATGTTCTCTCTCACCTGTCATCCGAATAAATGATTTTGATTCCAATAAATGCAGGATGCTTTTTCGCAAACATATAAGCAACTTCTTTGTAAGTCTTCACTGACCACTCTCGGCTATGGACCGTCCCGTCCAGTTCATACACCTGGGAGGGAAGCACACCCGACCAGACATCAGAGGGAGCAAAGCGAACTTCATCCCCAACAACCAATGATTTCTAAACCAGGCTGGGCTTTGCAGTTTCCTTGTTCAGTGCTTTGGACGGTCTCTGACACTTATCAGAAGTCCTAGCCCCGCCTCGGATGATGCTCTCTGATGCCATGAGGCTGGGCTCTCTGCCTGTCTCGTTCCTTGCTGGGTCCTCACCTGGAGGTGCCTGGCACAGGCAAGTGCTCAATCAGTACTCATGGAATGAACAAAGAACACGTCAGCTGGGGAGGGGACACGAGCCAGAAAGAGTGGTCTGAGGACCCACTTCTCCCTACTCTCCCACCCCCAGACAGAGCATCCCTGAGGTGGCCACAGCTACCAGGGACACCAAGAGTAGCATGGTTAGGGGCAGAGCAAGAAGGGCCAGGAATGGGCAGTAGGTAAGACAAAGGAGGGAGACGCAGTGGGGAGAGGGACGCAGACTGGGGAAGGGGTGTAGAGGAGACCCCTCCAAAGTGCCTGCCTGGCAGGTTGAGCCCTGTCAGGCCTGTGGTGAGAGGTGCTGGGGTGGGGCTGGAGTGGAGCCAGGCCTGTCCCCTGCAGCTCCCTCTGCCCTCCCCCATCACCGGGCCAGGTCTCACCCCTGCACAAAGGGACAGACAAGATGTAGGAGTTTCTGCAGAGGTTGTAGGGCGAGGGAGGACGGGAAGAAATAACATGCAGGGGTTCAAGTCATTTCTATCGGCACGAATTAAGCACCTACAGTGTGTAAGGAACTGGGCTGGGCATTGGAAGGGATGAACAAATGCTAATAAGACAAGATGCCTGCCCTTGAGGGGTTTTCAGTTTAGTGGAGAGACAGATTCTCCCCATTTTTATAATACACCGCAGAAGAATGAAGTGCTAAACAGAGGAATACGGGATCGCAGAGGAAGAACGGGTTCACTGGACAGGCTCAGAGAAGCTCTCCTGGAGGAAGGCATGGGGCTGGGCCTGGAGAGGTGACTAGACTGGATAAGCAGCAAGTAGGGGTGGCTGCTCCGCAAGCGAGTCGGGTAATCCCCGGCGGCCTCTGCGGCTACAGGGTTGCTAGTCCTGGCCTAGGGAACAGTGGCTCTACCCAGAGCCAGAACTGACAAGGGTCCAGGAGTGGACGCGGATGGAGGCAGGACGGGAGCGCGAAGAGCTGCCTTGGCAACCTAAAGGGGAAAGGTCCCTTCTCATCGCTGGATTCGGCTCTTGATTCGCTGGCCTCACAGGAGCTGGGTGCTCTTGGGGGGCCTCTTCTCATTCCCCCCGGTCACTTGCCTCACACCACTGTCTCCGGCCCAGGGACCTCCCTGCCCTCCTGATGGCATCACCATGGACACTGCACCCCCAGGCCCCGAGAGCAGGCCTTCTGGTCTTCCATCTCCAGGGTCCTGCTCTGCCGCTGGGGTTGGGGATGTGGGGTGAGCAGGCAGCTCTTTCCAGCCCCTTCCCTTGGCCCCACGGGCCTTTGCCCTTCAGCTTCCTCTGCTGCTGCCCCATGAAGCCCGGCCTTTCACGCACCCCACGAGGCCACCTCGCCCACTGGGCTCCCTGCTCTCAGGTGGGATTTCCCTATCTCTGGCCTAGGAGTGGACATGCTCAGGCTTACGGAATGTTTGTGGTTTTTTTTAATTAATTAATTAATTAATTTTTCCCCCAAAGCCCCAGTAGATAGTTGTATGTCATAGCTGCACATCCTTCTAGTTGCTGTATGTGGGACGCGGCCTCAGCATGGCCGGAGAAGTGGTGCGTCCGTGCGCGCCCGGGATCCGAACCCAGGCCGCCAGTAGCGGAGCGCGCGCGCTTAACCGCTAAGCCACGGGGCCGGCCCAGGCTTACGGAATGTGAAGGCTGCCAGGACTTTCCAGAGGGAAGGATCTTAGGTACTGTTAACTCAGACTCTAGTATCGCCCGTTATTATTATTTACTGAAAGGGGTCAGAATATACCACCCTGAAATATGCCACTTTGCATAAGGATTATTTCGAGCTGAAGGCAATTAAGAAGCAGTAAATGCAGACAGAGCTCTTTGCCCTGCTTCTGCCTGCCTAACAGCAGGACATCCATCTCTGTTTGTGAAGGTGCCCTCCTTCCAGCTCCTGTACCAGGAGGAGAACCACCCTTATCACGGGAGACAGAAAGTCGGCACCAAGACGGGTCTGCACAGACAAGCCTTACTAAAAGAACCCCTATCTTCTGTTGTTTTCCCTCATACATTTACCTTCCCACAATTTACTGCCCCTAGAAGCTCAAACTCCTTTTCCTTCATCTTGTTACTTCTCCACAAATTATCACCATTTGTTAAAATAGTACATAAGCACCTGGTCTACCCACTTCTTGGGGTCTTCACTTCTTTTCTACGAACGCCTCCACGCATGTAAAAATTAAATATTAACATCAAATAAAATTTACATGCCTTTTCTCCTGTTAATGTGGCTTTTGTCAGTTTAATTTGCAGGCCCCAAGAATAGAATCTAAGAGGGTAAAGGAAAAGTTACTTTCTTCCTCTCCTACTTTACCAAGGATTTTTTAAAAGAGAGCTTTTCCTGTCACTGATCAAGGCTTCAGCAGACTTCCAGACACTCTGTTAGAGTCTTCAAATCTTTGATGCTGCAAGATCCTATATGCTGTACCCCAGCAGTTCTCCAAGTGTGGTCAGGGAAACTCTGTGAGTCCCCCAGACTTCTTCATGCAATCTACAAAGACAAAACTCTTCATAAAAATTTTAAGATGTTGTCTTTTTCACTCTCATTCTTTCATAAGTCTACAGAATTTTCCAAAAGCTGCATCATGTGTGACGACATTGCTCTGACAAATAATGGATTGTGTGCTTGTGTAGTCTTGTGTTTTGAAAATTTCTCAGTTTTAATTTCTAATACAGGCTATATTATACAGGATTTAGTAGATATAATCCACATAAACAAAAGCTGTTTGGGATCCTCAAAAATTTTTGAGTGTAAAAGTTTGAAAACCATTGCGTTAACCCAACCCACAACTGTTAACTTGAAGCGGTCTTGGCGGTCCCCAGCTGACTGGCAGAAGGGAAGAACAGAATTTTGCCCCAGGCCATGACAGCTCTCTCAGGACTGTCACCTGCCCAGACACCCCACCTGGATTGCAAAGTCCTGAGGGTAGGGTCCGTGTGGTTTTGATCTTCCAACCTCCCCTCCTAGAGCATGGAGGAGGAGCTCCATAAAGAAGCACTAACTTAAGAGGAGGGCTGTCCACTGGGAGTGTTACAAGTCTTCCGCCCCAGGCAGCACGGATGAATAGACGGGTGCTGGAGGGGTGGCCAGTGCAGCACTGCTAGAAAACAGAAGGGAGACAGAAGAAAGAACCTTTAAAAAAAAATCAACAGGGCCGGCCCTGTGGCTTGGTGGTTAAGTGCTCGCGCTGCAATGCTGGCGGCCCGGGTTCGGATCCCGGGTGCGCATCGAGGCACCACTTCTCCGTCC